GGAATAGGACGCGGAGAGCAGCAACCCCAGGCAGGAATGTACGACCGAGTCACCAGATCAAAGTCCAAGCGAGGGAGAAGGCTGCCTGTCCGTGTATGTGGGAGCCTAAAGCTTACCTGGGTAGTGGGCACGTCTGATCTCTGGGTATGAAGTTCAGAAATGGTACAGATACCTGCCCAGAGCTCTGCTGCTCGTGATTTTCTGGCCATTGGGGCAGAGGTTGTGGAGGAATGCTAGCTCAGGGCTGTTAAGAGAAGCAGAAAGCTATGTAGGAGCAGAAGGTGAGCGTTTATTTTGTGTTTCTACTTTGATTAGAGAGAATATTTGATCAAGAGCAGCTCCCCCGCTTCCCCCAGGGTGAGGCTGCTAAACTGAAGGGTAGGCTACAAGTGAGCATCACATCCACAACAAGAAAATGTATCACCCTTCAAGAACTTGATTGCTTCTCATGCACACAAACACACTTGAAAATAGCCCCAAAGAGGTTTCTTCCCTCCCACAGGGAAGCAGCTGCAGAGAAATCTCAGCTTAATATTGACACCTCCAGCCTGAAAAGTACCTGATTTGCTCCATTATACATGTAATTTGGAACAAAAAGATGCAGCACGTGACAGGAGGTGGAACGGGCAACAATGAACAAAGGCAGCAAACGGTGCCCTGTCCTAATTTCTAAGCCTCTGAGGACAGGAGCAATGGAGGGCCAGAGCAACGGACGACCCGATGTTGCATCCTTTACCAGTCCCAGTAAAATCCTTTTTCCTCCTGGAAAAGCCTATCAAGAGGCTGAGATGTACCACGTAGCTTCTCTTCTGCAACTGTCTGCAAATCCTTGTGCTCCAAAGTATCCTCCTTGAGAGTGCTCACAGGCATGCTACAAACAAGCATAAGTACTGCCAATTGTTTTAGCATGATAAATGCATTTAAAAGCTTTCAATATTTCTGTCTGTTTACAGGCAGGCTCCTTGAGGAATTTTGACAAGCTTGCTAGAATGGAAAAGTTGCAAAATGCCTAACTTAATGCTGAAGTTAATGCAAATTCTCAAGTAAGAAACCTGGGTGTTCTCGGGATGTGGCAAGAGGAAGGCAAAGGATGAACAAACCCAAAATGAGCCTGGGCAGCAGCTGGCCATGGGCAGCCTGTGCTCATCCAGGGCACGTTTCCAAAACTGCTTCTTCTGGACACCCCGGCAATCGGCAACGCGGCTTCCAGGCAACGTCCAGCATTGCACAACCACGTGCAAGTTAACCCTCCTGGCACTTCTGCAGGAACTAAAGAGCCAAGTGCCTCATCGAGGGCAACAGAAGGACTTGATGGTGGCACCACGAGCAGAAGACCAGGGCTTCTCCTGGCGCTGCGGCTAAACTAAAAGCCAGCCCTTCCTCTGCCCGGGCCACCTGCCCTCACAGCCCACAGGCCAAGCAGGGCTGCTGCTCTTCAAGGGTTTGGCCACCCTAGAAGACACAGGATGCTATTTCCACCTTCAAACCTTCAGGTTCACACACCTCTCAGATCCCCAAAGCTAATGAGGCTTGTGTAGGAGGCTGTACTCCTCCCAAAGCCGTCCATCGACATGTCTACCACATCCCTCTATGAAAGATCACACCCAGGTCATGTACCTGACGTGAAGAAGGACTGGGACACCCAGAGAGTGCAAAAACAGGAATGGGAGTGTTTCTTCAGGCTATATTAGTCCATTCCCTTTGCCTCAAGGAAATAAAGCTCACTGGTAATTTGCCCACTGAAGAAGTCCATTTCCACCCTAATCTGGGCAACGGACTCAGGGAGATAATCTCTGCAAAACAGATTCCTGCGGAAAGAAGCTGAGAGACCTCTGTAAAGCAAGTGTGGATGGGTGGGAAAGGGCTGCTCAGGCAGGTTCTGCTGGCCTCCTCACCGTGACACAACCTGCGCAGGCAAGGCCAAGCTAGGGCAGAGAGAGCAGAACTGGGAAATGCTTTGAGTGCAAATCAGGAAACAGACAATTTCTATCTCAAAAAGTCAACAAGTATCCCACCAGAAGGAGTAGGGGAATAGCTCTGAAATTACGTAAGTGGCTCACACGAAAAAACGGTAATCTGCTAAAGAGTAGAATTATACAAGCCAGTAAGCACCGAGTATAAAGAGCTTTTAATATTGATTCATTCACTCAATATTTCATGGAATTCACATCTTGCTCAACAGTGGAGCAACGAGAGAAAATGCTCAGTTTGGTGAGGTCCTGACGTCTACAGGATCAGACAAATAGCAGCATTGTCAGGTTTGGACTGACTTCATGTTTTAGTAAAGACACTGGTTGGCTTTGGCACTGCTGTTCAGACACGTTTGTGCTCGGTCTGTACGCAGAGGTGATACAGGCTGGGCACCCAGAGATGCCCAGCAATGGGATACGGGGACGTAACCCCAAGGACACGTGTTGAAAGTTTCCCTTCATCAAAGTGAAAAGAGGAAAGAGTTGAAAGCCGTCACAGATAAGGAAAGGAACTGACGTGGACATGTGACCTGTAAAAAAATTCAAACGCAAGCGCACCAGAACTGATTCAGAACTCACCAAACATGTTACCGATGTGGCCGTTCTTAGTCAGCGGTCGCAGCTCATTTTTCCCGAGTGCGTATTGTTTGTAGTTATCCCAAGCGAATTTCATCATCTGTGAAAAGAAAAACTCAATGAAAGCGCTCAACAGAACCGAAAGTTTTCTGACCTTCAGCTCTGGGAACAAACAGGAGTTTCCCATTCACTGCTAAACCTGGCAATCAATGGCCCATTAATTACAAAATTCTTAATTTGCACTGAACGCTCATGAATGGGGCTGCGTTCAGCAGTTTGCGAAAGTCTCGAACTCGTCTCTTCTGGTGCCGAATTTGGGACTGGCACAGCTCAGGGATCCAACACACCAAGAGTCCACTTCTCCCCTGGGCCGGGCAAAGCAAGTGGGAACTTCAGAACAATGTCTCCATCTCTGACCTTTTTCACAGAGGATCAGTATTTCAGAATGGCGATGAAAACGGGCTAAAAATACACGGCCAAAACTCAAATATCCGTAAGCACAGGGATGTTACCTTCTGAGTTTTCACATTTCTTTCTGACAGTGGTAATGATCCAACTGCCAAACCACCCACCAGGTGCCCACCCCGCAGCAGTTACCCACACAGCCTGGGCAAAGCAGCACACAACAACGCACTTAATACCGGGGTGAGCAAAGGAAGAAATCAGTCTTTGTTTAAGCACTGCGCAGGAGGGGTTTTTGTATTAATTAGCAGAACGCATTCAGAAAGAAGAGAGGGGAAATACATGACATTTTTGATATCTTCCTACCAAAACTCCAAAGTGCTTTCTTACGACAGCCCTGCAGATGGGCTGGGTGATTTCTGAGAAACCCCTTCCAACTCAAACAATTCCTTTTGGGACTTTTGAACTGTCCTGCCCGGGCTCAGCACATTAACCTTTCCCTGAGGACTGCAAGTTCCAACACACACACACACCAGCACAGCTTTTTCTGTCCTCCTGCCCCTTTGGCTCCAGCTGGTAGGAAAAATTAAACCTACAAGTATCCTCTCTTTGACTAGGAGAGAGCAGGACTTGTCAGCTTCTAAGTCGTGCCTTAAATAAAGCTCCCTTTTATAACCCACACAGCCTGGCTCTGAGCAGTTTCAGCGCCGGCATCGCAGTGACCCACACGTTCTTTGATTCAATCCCTGGAAGAAAAGTCAGATAACAAAGGGGAAGAAGGCAGCTTCAGAGAACTGACAATATTTTCCACCATCGGTCAACAAAGATAAGAGTCTCCTAAAACACTTCACTCAAGACATCTGAGAGAAAATGACAGTTTAAAACAAATCATTCCTCCACGGAACACCCCTGTCTAGTGCCTGCAACAGCATTTACTGCTCTATTTCAGGATCAAAATATGCAGGTTACTTTGGTCTAAAATGCCTACTGTCGTTTCAGTTCTTACTTTTGTCCTTCCCTCCAGCTGTGTGTTTCACAAACCCAACGTTGCAAGCCTCTGGCAACACCCTCCTTCATTAGCACACGTACACAAAAAGCCACATCACCAGATTTTGCCCCCCCTCCCCTTTTTTTTTAAACACGAAGCTTCCAAAGTAAAGTTTCACAGAGCTGGTCCCAGGGATGAGGATAAACATTTGCTGAACTGATTGGTAACACTCAGACTCCAACACCACCGGGAGAAGGAAAGTTGGACAAACAAATTGAGTCAACTTGGGTTTTAAAAACTCAGTAGGGGTTGAATTAGTCACTCAGAACGCTCTGCTCCGAGGACACTAAATAATGACAAAGAGGAACAAAAAAAAGTAAAAAAAAAAAAGGAAGAAATCCACCACAAAATTCACTCAAACGGTCCTCAATCGTATTATTTTTGCTAAATCTCTGGGGTTTTTTTTCAGGGGCGGCATTATTCTCAGTGGGAAGTTCTCATTCTTGATTAACATCTTTGAGGAACTCTGGACTCTCTCTCTGACAGCACCGAGCAAATGTTTTTTATGTCTCACAGCTTGATCCTGAAGTTTACTGCAGAAAGGATGGTGCTTCAGCGAGCGATAGGGCTCATGTACCCGAAAGGAAACAGCCCGGCAATCTATTTGGGTCATTTCTCTTTTCAGTCAGAGATGAGGAAGAAAGACCCACCCTTCTGGCATACAGAGAGCCTGGACGCAGAGAGGATGTGGAAATGACTGTTTTGTTGCATAAAACTCCTAACGTTGTCATTCTGAACCGGCCTCATTTTCAGCTGAGTATGAAATTTAAAGTCGCTTCCTTCCCTCAAGTTTTTTAACCCCTCTGTTCCAGAAGATTCTTCTTCAAAGCATGCGAGAAACCAAGCACCTCTGCCACGGTGGCTCTCTGGGACCCAGAATTTGCTGACAGCTCCATCGCAGGCAAGAAAACAACGCCGGGTTTCCCTTCAAGAGCCGCTGATATCCTGCAAGGGATATCTTCCCTCCTTCCATCTCCCCACACAGGGAGGTACCGCACGAGGCCAGGCACCCTGAAGCAACTCACTTCACACAGGACTCCCACGAGCTATTTGAATAAATACCTTTATTCTTCATTTGCCTATTGGACCATTTAAGGCTGCATTTGTCACGGCGTTGCAAGAAGTTCCACCACAAAACGATTTCTTGGGCTGTGCTGCCTGCGACCCTCCCTCTCCGTTCTGTCCCGAGCTGATAATCAGGCGGAGGATGGATGAGATTGGATACGCCGCCTCGTCCTACTAAAGGGTTGTCAGTTTGCCTTTACGTGAACAAGATTTTGCTCACTGCTTTAAACCCTGTGTATTTGGGAGGCGAGATGCACAACGAGGTGCCCTTTCATCTCCTCAGATCAAGCTTTCCTCTCGCTAACGACGGCTCCAAAAGCGGCAACTGGAAAAGTTTAAAAGCCAAAAGCATCTGCGCCGTTCTGCCCGTTCTGCCTTCCCGCAGCTGTCTTTCCAAGCCAAATTTAGCAGTTTTGACTTCCAAACCACTCAAGAGATTCATCAAGTTTCTAAAAGCGGGGACTCCACATTTATAGCCCGCGGGGAGGACCGAGACGGAGCTTTCGGAAACTTTCTCTTCCCGAGGTTCCAAGCATCGGCCTGAAACCAAAGGGGACGGAGCCGGGAGGTCAGAAACAGAAAGTTCACGGTGTGAGGTGTTTGGAGTCACTTTTCTGATGAGATGCCAAGGTTACAAGTGAATATTTTTAAGTCAATTTAGTCATGACAGATCACGATACATCCGCATTCCCACTCGGCTACTTTAGATTTGAAAAACGGCACCAGAACCCCAAAAATTATGGAAATAGATCCATAATTTCAGATTTTGTTCTTACAGACAATTAACTATTTGGCCCTGAAATTCTAATCACTGTGGCTTTCAGTTGATTTATAGCCAAGACTTCCAAATTTAGAATCGAATTTGTCAGATTGCTTTTTCTTTAGTCTAACCTGTAAGTCACTTTTTACTTTTGAGGCTAAAAACTTGACCGAGGAAGTGTTTTTGCTCTGAAGAGACGTGCAAATCTGATGTTCTTTAATATATGCAGTAACGAAACCACTGAAAATCCCTGGGTTTATGTACTTGCAAAAAGCAGAGGGATGAGAGAAAAAAAAAATATGAAAAAATAAAAATCCCCCACACTCTTTTTGTTACCAAGGAAGATTTCAAAATGCAGAGCATTCCCAAACAGCTATTTGATTAGTTTTATCCATCTAGGCTGGGATAATTAGTAAATGCTTAAAAGATGAAATCTAAATATACCGACCAATCAGCCCCTTTCAAGAACTTCCAAGGAACATTACACAAAGCCAGTATCTTCACTTTCGTGGCTCTTCAGCCTCCTTTCTTCAACTCCTCTTTAAATATTTGACTATCAACCTAGCTAAGAAATGTCTGGTTTGGGGTTTTTAAACAAAAAACAAAAAACAAAAAACCAAACTGGTGGTGGGTGTAATTTTAAATTTTCTATTGTATTTCTTATTTGGTTTTCCCCACCCCAAATCACCAAACGGGTTTCTCTTCCTTCCTCTGCAGCCGGAGGAAGGTCAGTCGTCACAGCAGTTTCAAACCCAGGACCTGTTCTTTCCCATCTCTAACCTTTTCTTCTACCCTGAAATAGCCCCGTTCTTGTTTGGATTTTTAACCTGCAATATAATGTCACATATCTTCCCCAGTTTTGCAAAAAAATAATCTGCTGGGTAACAAGTTGCAGAGAAAAAGAGGAACCGACTGTCAGTCTTGCAGCCAGAAAAAAAACAAATTTGCCTGAACCCATCAGGATAAGCCATTTATATTTGGTATTTTTTCCTAATCAGGCTTGCATACAGGTGTATAATTCAGGACTGGCTGTGGGAAAGGTAACAGAACGCTATTGTGTTTATTTTCTGTTGCTGTTCTTAATATTATCACATTCAGATACACGCATCCACACAAACACCACGGCAGAATGTTACAGAAAGGCTGGAATTTATTTGAGAACCTCTATACTAAAGCAGGGCAACTTCTCAGGTGACTTCTTTGAGACAGTCGCCTTAGAAATGTTCTTATGTAACAGAAAAATAATAACAGGAAAGCTGCGTGTTAACTCCAGCTGATTGAAGGCTTCCATTTAGGCGGACGCTAATATCCACAGGCTTTTACTTCATGGGTTTAAAAGCCCGCAACTGGCGGAACAGACAGTGCTTCAGCACATCAAAGACGTTACCAAGCAACCCACAGAAACGGACACCGACATTGATAATCCATCCTAAAGTAATTACGCTTTATAATTAAAGATTACAGTAAATCCAATAGATCCCAACAGGAACTTGAGCAATTTAGAGACACGCCAGCTAACCTGCCCGTTTTACAGCATCCACGTGAGCTTCCGCCTCTGAATAAAACATCGAGTGAACTGCAGAGATTTCCATTTAATGGGCCTCCAAACAACTGATTAACCAGTAGAGTCTCACCGCAGTAAGCGTTAATTTAATGTCACCTCAGTTCTCTAAATAAAATCTCACTCTTCATTTAACAGACGGTAAAGGGGCGACCGCCAGCAAAACCTTTGCAAAAATCAAGCCAAAACACAAGCTCTTCATCGCCGACCGCTTTCCGTCCCTGCCCGAAAACTTCCACGACCGCGTGCCTCAGCTCATCCTCC